AGCAGCACCAGCTCCAGGGTCCTCAGCACCAGCAGCAGCTCCAACGCCCGAGTCCTCAGTACCAGCAGCAGCTTCAACGCCCGGGTCCTCAGCACCAGCAGCAGCACCAGCGCCCGGGTCCGCAGCACCAGCCGTAGCTCCAACGCCTGGGTCCGCAGCACCAGAAACAGCTCCAACCTCGGGGGCCGCAGCACCAGCAGAACCAGTAGAGTCTCCAGTACCAGTAGCACCACCAGCAGCAACGGGGTCCGCGACACCAGGCGCGCCACTCCGAAGAGTGCAGCGCCGCTCGTACCACTCACGGATCCGCTCACTGGAGGGGAGCTCCCGGCTAGGAGGAGAAGCACTAGCACCAGTCCCAGTAGTACGCCTGGCTCCAGAGGTACCTCTCCTGAGGCTGCAGTACTGGAAGTACCACTCACGCAGCTGCTCCGAGGAGAGGGCTCCGCCAGGTGTAGGACCCCTAGGCTCAGGACCTCCAGACTCAGAACCCCCAGACTCCGGACTCTGCGGCTCAGCACCCCCAGGCTCAGTACTCCCAGGCTCAGCACCCCCAGGCTCCGCACCCCAAGGCTCAGCACCCCAGCAACCCCAGGCTCCGCACCCCCAGGCTCCGCACCCTCAGGCTCCGCACCCCCAGGCTCCGCACCCCCAGGCTCAGCACCCCCAGGCTCCGCACCCCCAGGCTCAGCACCCCCAGGCTCCGCACCCACAGCAGGACGAGAGACGACAGCTACCTCAACAGGCTCAACCGGGTCTACCTGAGACACACCTGAGGGAGCGGCACCCTGAGGGGGGAGGGGTTCTACGACAGCAGCACCTGGCGCGAGGAAGAGAGGCGGGGGGGGGAGCGGGGCAGTGCGGTAGGGGAAGAGGCGGTAGTAGGGGACGGACTCGTCAAAAGTGACGTCCTGAGAGGGCAAGACTCGGCGCGAGGTGGCGTGGTAAAACTGCCAACCAGGCGCGTACGGGACAAAGCCGAGGAAGACGGAGGGAACAGCACGGGATGAGAGCTTATCCGCAGACGTATCGCGGACAAAAGCTCGAGATCCCCAGACCCGGAAACGCGACGCATCGCCAACCTCCCCCGTCCACAGCAGTGTGGGCGAGGTCTCCGGCAAGGAGACACGGGGCCAGAGGTTGAGCTTATGCGCAGCGTACCGGATCGCAAACGGCCACAGAAAGTGGGGGGCAGCCGCATGGATCAAGGAGGTACGGGCGACCTCCATGACCAGGCCAATGCGACGCTCTGCAATCCCATTCTGCTGTGGAGAGGCCGGAAGTGTGAACGACTGCTCAATGCCGTGCTCAGCACAGTAGGCTGCCAAGAGGTCGGAGGAGAACTCACCACCTCTGTCAGAGTGCAAGCGCAGGACAGGAAAGTCCGAGTGGAAACGCTCGCTGAGCTGGAGACGGGCTCTGCGGATCCAAGGGATCAAGACATCAGGGACCTCACCCTTGGTGCGTAAGGGGAAGACCGTGGTGTAGCGCGAGTAGTCGTCAACAACTATCAGGAAGTACCTCTCCTGACCCTGACCACGGACGCGGCTGGGCCCCACACGTCCATGTGGAGCATCTGCAAGGGAGCAGTCGTCGGGGGAAACGAGGAGGAGTGGGGAGCGGCGCGCTGCCACCCCTCGACGCAGGGAAGACAAGGAGGAACAGGCGAGGGTGGGAGGGGAGGGAGGACTCTGGGAAGACCGGAGACAAGGTACCGGGAGTGCATGGCACGAAGGCGCTGCACAGACGGGTGGCCAAGTCGGTGGTGCCAGAAGACAGTCTCGTGCGCCAGAGAGCGACACGAGCAGGGGGCAGACAGCTGACCTGACGCGGACGCAGACGCAGACGCAGCGACCTGAGGGGACTCAGTGGTCAGTGTGTACAGGTCCGACCCTGGCTGCCGAGTGAAGGTAGCCAAAAGGCGGCCCGTACGAGCACACGTGCAGTGTGTCACGCGCTCGTAGGCAGGGGTGAACTGGTGAACACCCCCGTCCTGGAGTGCACTACCTGCCACCAAGTTCGTAGAGAACGAGGGGAGGTGGAGACCTGACAGTGTGCCCGACGAGACCGCAGGACAGGGAAGGACAGTGGAGGAGGTCGCAATGACCGGACCCCCAGAAGGGTCAGCGAGGGAGACAGCAACTGGCCGAGCAAGCGGCTCAAGGGCAGTGCGGTCACGAAAGAAGCAGCGAGAAGCACCTGAGTCCAGTGTGAAGGTGTGCAGTGCTGCCGTCAACTCAGTACCAGAGGGGGCAGACGCACAAGCACCTAGAGCAGCTGCCTCACCAGCACCTGGGGTAGCAGACGCGCGAGTACCTGGAGCGGCAGACGCACTAGTCCTAATGCCCGGGTCGGGCGGCACACACAGGTACTCAACACCCTCTCCACTAGTAGACATCACATACATAGCAGTGAGAATAGCATCAAAGTCTAGAGCATAGATATCAATCCCCTTCTTCAGGAGATCAACCCAGCGGGGCAGCTCAGTGGCCTGAGGGAACTGAACACGCCAAGCGTCGTTGAGACAAGCGAAGCAGCGCTGTGTGGCGTGCGGTCCCCTACACGGCTGACCAGTGCGGTCACCAGTGCGAATGACGTACGTGCAGCTAAAGCCACCCCCCCCCCGTGCTGAGAGTACCACTCACGGACCTCATGGGGCGACGGAGTGTGCTGCTGGCCCTGGCCACCGCCAGCGCCTCCACGACCACCACCGCCGCCGCCACCTCCTCGACCACCCCAACCCCTGCCGCCGCCGCGTCCACCGCCACCCCCACCACCGCCTCCGCCCCTGCCACCTCCCCCGCCGCTGCCGCCACCACCCCCACCGCTGCCACTAGCCCCTCTAGTCGCGCCACCACCCCCACCGCCGCCACCGCCCCCACCACCGCCTCCCCCCTGTCACCGCCACCGCCCTTGCCCCCTTTGCCCTTGCCGTTGCGGCGCCCGCTCGAAGCAGACGCAGTCCCGACCTTCTCAGCACCAAGGAGGTCGGCAGCAGCAGCAGAGGCGACAGAGGGAAGAAGGGGGGAAGGAGAACACCCCTCATAGAACGGGGTACGGGGGTCGCCACGAGAGGCACCTACAGCGACTATGCTAGCCTCAGCTGCAAGGAGTTCCTTCTCGAGGAGGGCAATGGTGAGCTCAGTGGGGCAGCGAGCTAGGAAGTGGTCCCTGACTGAGCGCAGAGTGTCAGGGAGGCGGGTGACTAGGTGGTAGAGAGTGAGCCAGAGTGGGGGTGGGTTCTTGGCAAGGAACTCATCAGGCATGGCAGTGCGGAAGCGAGCCTCACTAGTGCGGAGGTGCGTAATGAGGTCAGCGACTGTGTGGAAAGAGGCTAAGTCGGGGAACAGGTAGGGAAGAGAGAGACGGCCTAGTGTTGCAGAGGCCGGCGAGGAGTAGCGGGCAACGACAGCAGTGTACAGTGCCTGTGCAGTCTTGTGCTGCCCAAAGTGCTCGCGCTCATCTATCGGCAGGGAGTTGCGAATAGCGAAGCGAGCGTGGGCGTCACGAGTCTGCCACTGTGAGCGGGCAGTGCTGTCAGCAGTAGCAGCAGGAGCAGGAGCATGGCCTAGGGCGTGATCGTACAGTGAGATGTCCTCCTTCGCAGTGAGCTGTAGGAAGAGGTGTAGGTCATCTAGCCAGGCTTCGAACTTCACTAGGCGGCCCTCAGCATCGAAAGCCAGCACAGGAGGGCTAGCCATAGCAGTAGTAGGAGTAATAGCAGTAGGGGCACCCCAAAAACAGTAGGCAGTGCGACTCAGGTAGGGCGGCTAGGTCCAGTACGGGCGGCGCGGCTCGGTTCAGGTAGGGCGGCGCGGCTCGGGAAGGGCGGCGCGGCTAGGTTCGGGCGACGCGGCTCGGTTTGGGCTGGGCGGCTCGGTTCGGGCGGTTCGGTTCGGGCGGCTCGGTTCGGGCGGCTTGGTTCGGGCGGCTCGGTTCGGGCTGGGCGGCTCGGTTCGGGCTGCTCGGGTCGGGCGGCTCGTTCTGGGGGGGCCGTTCGGGGCCTCTAGGGGCGAGCGCGGGGCCGTAAGGGGCCGCTAAGGGCGAGCGCGGGGCCGATCGAGGCCTCTAGGGGCGAGTGCGGGGCCGTAAGGGGCCGCTAAGGGCGAGCGCGGGGCCGTTCGGGGCCTCTAGGGGCGAGCGCGGGGCCGTAAGGGGCCGCTAAGGGCGAGCGCGGGGCGGTTCGGGGCCTCTAGGGGCGAGCGCGGGGCCGTAAGGGGCCGCTAAGGGCGAGCGCGGGGCCGACGGGGGCCTCTAGGGAGGTGAGCGCAGGGCCGACGGGGCCGTTAGGGGCGATCGCGGGGCCGACAGGGTCGCTAAGGGGCGAGCGCGGGGCCGTAAGGGGCGAGCGCGTGGGCCGACGGGGTCTTAAGGGGCGGCGCGCGAGTCGCTAAGGGGCGGGTCGCGGGGCCTTAGGGGGCCGTGAAAAACGAGGCGCCCTAGGGCGCAGTTTGGTAGGTAGGTAGGTAGGTAGTGGTGGGCCCTAAAAAAACGGTCCTAGCGAAGGACCTGCTCTATACCATGTTGAAATTAACGAACATGAATGATGAACTAACAGTGAAATCAGTACAAGTACCTAACCTTAGAATTGTGTACCCCCTATAGGCTAACCCACAGTAGCCTACACAAGCACAACATATATAATGTTTGACAGTCGCACCCCGACCTCACGGCTCGGCGGGTAACCCGCGCTCCGGGCCTCCGCTTCGACACTTTTCCCAACCTCCGTCCCAGGCCCGTCGCGCGACAACCACAGTCCATTACCGTTACCACTGTAGTTTCGCTATATATTCTTCGCTCATTCCTTCGCTCATTGTACTCTTGCTTCGATAGTGCAATTCTCGTTCGTTCACTCAATTGCACTCGGAACAGAATCGAACAAACTCTGCATGGTACACCCAATTTATATTGGTGATACACAACAACTTTGATAAAATTTGGAATGAAACACATGTATCAAACTTTGATAACATTTGCAAACCGGTTTGTAGTTCTCATTTTCAGCGCAAGAAAATGCCCAGAATAGCACTGGCGAGCGAGAAAAGCGCGAAGATCACGAGGGCAAAGACAAAAACGCCGGCCACTATGGTCAGAACCGGCACTCCCGAGGCTGATGACGACTCTGACGTGGCGGCCTCAGGTGTGGGCTTGCTCCCTGCCGAAGCTGCAGCTGCGGCAGCGGAATCAGTGGCTGGCGTGTCTGCAGATTCACCTGCGGCCCTGACAGTGAGCGCTGCAGTGGTGCAGAGGAGGTGGGATGCACGCAGGGGGAGAGGAAGAAGGGAAGGCAGCATGGGGGGAGTGTTAGAGGAGGGGGCATGGGGGGGTTAGAGGAGGGGGCATGGGGGGAGTGTTAAAGGAGGGGGCATGGAGGGAGTGTTAAAGGAGGGGACGTGGAGGGAGTGTTGAAGGAGGGGGGCATGGGGGGAGTGTTAAAGGAGGGGGCATGGGGGGAGTGTTAAAGGAGGGGGCATGGGGGGAGTGTTAAAGGAGGGGGCATGGGGGAGTGTTAAAGGAGGGGGCATGGGGGGAGTGTTAAAGGAGGGGGCATGGGGGGAGTGTTAGAGGAGGGGGCATGGGGGGAGTGTTAGAGGAGGGGGCATGGGGGGAGTGTTAGAGGAGGGGGCATGGGGGGGGCACGAAGGGCGGCGAGGGAAGACAGGAGCAATGGAGGGACAGTGCATGGGTGAGCGCAGGGAGGGATGAAGACAGAGCGCTGCTGCCGTGCAACACCCAGCACTGATGCATGGAGTGGGACTTGAAGACGGTGGGGAATGACAGGTGCAATGGAGGGACAGCGCTTGGGTGAGGGCACGGAAGGACCAACAGAGAACACCGCTGCCGTGCAACACCCACCCAGCGTTGCGCGGAAACACGGTCATCAACACACACCCACGGTCATCCACACTCACCCACGGTCATCCACACACACCCACGGTCATCCACACTCACCCATGGTCATCCACACACACCCACGGTCATCCACACTCACCCATGGTCATCCACACACACCCACGGTCATCCACACTCACCCATGGTCATCCACACACACCCACGGTCATCCACACACACACACCCACGGGCCATGGCGCTGCGCCGCGCACCCACAGGCTACGAGAGCGAGCGAGCACGACAGATGCGCTGCGCCGCTGCCGCATACTCCAGCACGCAGCGCGGAGAAGAATATACTCACAACAGACGTGCGGCGACCCACGGCCATGCGACACACACTGCCATGCGACACATGCGACACACACTGCCATGCGACACATGCAACACACACTGCCATGCGACACATGCGACACACACTGCCATGCGGCTGTCGACTTACATGTGCGACGAGACTGGCTCTGCGACCGACTGATCGCGTGCGACACCCTGCCACGACGACGGAGGGTACGCAGAGAGGGGGAACGTGAAGGCTGCTTTACGCGATGGGATGCGTTGAACAAGGCAATATAGGAAAGCGTTTCCGAAACACATTCGAGGGCTATTGGCCGCAATAGCCGCGCGACCCGTTGGCTAGTCAGCTATGATGGAGAGAACAACGCGACGCGAACTCAAACTCGCTCTTCGCCCACTCAGCTGCACCTGAGCCTGTTGATGTGCGACACGTGGACCAGTGCCTTTGCTTCAGCAGAGCGCGCCGAGCTGCCCTGCCTCAGGCTGCACCGCGACGGAACGGCGCAGGACGCGAGGGGCGCGAGCGATGCGGCGACGGCAGCCATGGGCGAGAGATATCAACCGCGAAGGACGGCGAGAACAACGCAGGCTATTGCGATTCGCGAAGGCTGATTGAGAGGACCAACGCGTCGTCGCTACGAGGAGGAATTAATCTCGAAGAAGCGTGCGAGGCGAGGTGGTCAGCGAGTCGGGCTGTGCTGAAATCGGGTCTCAACTCACACAAGTCTCGAAGCAGCCAATCGAAATCAGCAGAGGGCGAATCAGCTGTTGCAGGAACGGATCTGGGAGACCATTCTTCTAGAAATCCTCGATACAAAGGTTTCCTCAACTCTTCCACGTGAACCATTGCCAACATGGCACTACTTCGCAACAAGTAGGTAGGTTTAAATGTGACATACCATATCTGCTAAATCGCCCGACATGTGTCCGATCCAATATGAACCAAGCTCTGCAATGGAACCCGAACCTGTTTGCTTGGCAATTCTTTTCCCTCCAGCCGCAGTTATTCGCCTGTTATTCTGATCTATATTCATCACCATAACGAGGTGGACAATAATAAACAACCCCGCTCCCTCTCCCCTTCCCCCCCCCCCCCCCCCCCCCCCTCACCCTCAATCATCCTTCCGACAGGGGTGAGTTTGATCCCTCTCTCAACATGTCCCCCTCCTGCTCCTCCCCATCCTCTCCCTCCTCGCCTCCCATCCCTTCTTCCCCCTCCTCCCTCTCCTCATTCCTCCCCTCCTCCTCCTGCCGCTGCTCCTCCCGCTGCTGCTGCTTCACCAGAATACAATCCAGCAGCCCACCCACCCCCACTATCGGCAACAGCCGATCCACGCGCACCAATCGCAGCCCTTCCCGCCTCAACTCGCTGTCCACGTCACCCTTCCCTCCAGCGCCCCCTTCAACACTGCACCCAGCCCCCTCCCCCGCTCGGCTCTGCCCCTCGCCACTCTCCCCCTCCCCCTCCTCCCTGTTGCGGTTCTGAGGGGTATAAAGCTCTGATAGCTCCTGCAAAGGCGGAGGGCGAGCAGCAGGGGAGAGGGGTGGGGCGAGGAGTGGGGGGATAAGGAGAGAAGGGGGAGGGGAAAAGGGGGATAAGGAGAAAGGGGGGTGTGGAGGAGCGCAGAAGAGAAAGGGCGGCAGGAAAGGAAGGAGGGAGCAGCAGGGAACGCACCAGGGGGGAGTGGGGGGCAGAGCAACACGCACCCGTGTGGGGGGGGAGAGGAGAGAAGAGCAGCAGGGGACACACCGGGAGGGAGCGGAGCAGCAGTGAACGCACCATGACTTGCTGCAGCAGGAAGGAGAGTCGACTCAATGCCACACAGCCTTTGATACAATGTCACACAGCAGCAGTGAACGCACCATGACCTGCTGCAGCAGGAAGGGGAGTCGACTCAATGCCACACAGCCTTGGTTACAACGCCACACACCAGCAGGAGACGCACCGGGAGGGGGCGGGTGGAAGTGGAACACAGCAGCAGTGAACGCACCATGACCTGCTGCAGCAGGAAGCGCACGTAGTGAACTGCCTCCAGCAGGAAGGGGAGTCGACTCGATGCCACACAGCCTTGCTTACAATGCCACAGACCAGCAGGGGACACACCGGGCTGGGGGGGGGGGGAGGCGAATCAGCAGTCAACGCACCATGACCTGCTGCAGCAGGAAGCGCACATAGTGAACCGCCTCCAGCAGGAAGCTCTCGGTTGTCATCGTGGCCGCCCCCGGCACCAGCCCCTGCAGCACCCTCATGCGCGCATTGACTCGCTCCCGCCGCATCTGAGGAGGTTGGGGGGGGTGAGCGCAGGGGAGTGGGGAGGTTGGGGGGGATGAGAGCGAGGAGCAGGAAGCTCTCTGTTGTCATCGTGGCCGCCCCCGGCACCAGCCCCTGCAGCACCCTCATGCGCGCGTTCACCCGCTCCCACCGCATCTGAAAGGGGGAGGGTGAGAGAGAAGGGAGAAAAGAAGAGGAGGGGCGCGCGGGTGCGGCACCCCGATGCGTGCGAGGGGGATGGGGTAAAGAGTGTGTGGGGGGAGATTGGCTGAATGGTGACAGTTTGTGTGAAGGGGGGCGGGGTGGGAAGACAGGGAGGGAAGGCACTCGTAAGAATCTCTCTTGCCCGTCTGTCTTGTCTCACTCACGATACTGGGCGACGCAAGGCATCCACCCTACACCGATAGGTTTCCGCTTCCCTATTTCCGCCACCCCACATCCACCCATTACCCCGCGCTGCCGCGCATCACTCTCACCCCCCTCCCCCCCTTCAACCGCCCCTCCTTGCGCCTTTCCCCCGAGCGCTTACCCGCGCGGCCATGGCCTGGGCGCCCAGGTTCTGCCCTTTCCCAGGCCCATCCCCCCATCCCTCCCAAGCGCATCACACTTTCCCCCTTCCCCTTCCCCCCTTCCCCCCGAGCGCTGCGCTTACCCGCGCGGCCATGGCCTGGGGGCCCAGGTTCTGCCCTTTCTTCGACGACTGCTGGCCCCCGCCGCCCGCAAAGTCATCCCCCCTTCCGCCCCGCTCCCCAGCGCCTCCGCCCGCCCCGCCTTGCGCGGAGAGAGACTCCTCCCACGCCTTCCGGATCGCCCTTCCTTCTCGCGCTGCAACCTCAGACGTTCCCACGGCACGTGACAACGCCCCGTCTCCTCTGCTTCCCGAAGCGCCCGCTAAATCCGCCGCTTCGTGCGCGCCCTGCCCCTCGCGCAGCTCCCCCTCCCCGCCGCCCGCAAAGTACCCCGAGTGCACTAGCTGCCAAATCGCCTCCAGCTCAGATCGCGTCGGCATGACGTCATCGGCGCCGCCTCGCGCGGCCGGCCGGCTGCCGCCAACAGATGGTCTCTTGGAACTCTCTGAGCGATGAGCGTCCGCGTTATTAGCATCCCCGCGATCGGCAAAACCGTCGGTCCGTCCTGCTGCGCCAGCCTCCGGTCTACCGCTCTGCGTGGCCGCGCCTCCCTCGGAGCTGCCGCGCGCGCGCTTCAGGAGCGCGGAAGCTTCCGCCGCAGCGTCGACGTTGAAGTCCCCGACCGCCTCCCCCTCAAGCTTCCGCTTGAGCGCCGCCTCGAGCGCGCGCACTGCTGCCGCCGCGAGCTGTATTTCCATCGCCGCGCGGCCGGGGTGCGCGAATGGCGCAAGTTTTGCGCGGCGGTGAACAGGAGCGTTTGGGCGCAAAAGCCGGCGGAGTAAAGATCGCTTCCTTCTCTGGCTTCCCTTCCCAGTTCTCCGCGCAGCTAGCGGAGGGAACAAGTCGTAAAAAACACAGGCGGCTCGAGTTCGTGATGCGAGGTGCGTGGGGAGGAGGTCGGAGGAAAGGCGTTATTGTTGGGCTGTAAGCAAGGCCCGAGCGGTGCGCGCGGGCTAAAGCTAAGAGTGTGGCGGAGGGCAGGGAGCAGGTGTGTGCATAAGTGGTAAGAGGAAAGTCAATCGGGTTAGCTTTCTATGAGGCAGACCAACGGAGCTGGCATCATCAGAAGGACGCGTTGCCTTAGGGCGCGCTCGTTCTGTTCCCAAGTTCGAAAATAAGTTCGAACTTTAGGTGGTTACCTGATTCGCCAATCTCGTCACAAGCGTGTGACGAACATCGCGAATTTCAGGCCTGAGGAAAGTTCGAACTTGAATTTTGAACATGACTCGAGTTGGCGTTGTGAACGTGCGTGAGCACGTTCATGTGAGCGTGTGTGTTTTCGGCAAGTACGAACACCATGCGAAATTGACGACTTCATCGCGAAACATACAATGGCATTAATTTGACTTGGCGAGCAAGTACCGGGTAACATAAAGTTCGAATTCTGGTGTTCGACCTTGCGTGTGTGATTGCATCTTTGCAGTGTTATTCCCGCGATTTTCGAACTTCGCTACAAGGAAAGTCGAATTCCATTCGACTTAGGCTCAAAAAAATATTGTCCCCAAAACATGAACTTTGTCCAATTTGACGGAACGAACGCGCCCTCAGCAGGTCATTTCAGGTCCAGGCGCCGACAACCTGCCTTTTCGCGAAAGCTGGTGGGCTGTACGGATCACTGGAATGCCGTCGATGGGCGATGAATGTTACCCTTTTCCATTTTCGCAGCTTCGCCTGTTACATCACCCTCCCCCGCCAAGTAAAGTTCCGCTCTATCCCCCTGCGCTTGACGGCGACAGTTCGGAATCGGACTCCGCAGCAGTTGGTTCATCCTTCCCCGCGCACAAGCCCGACGGCTAGCAGCCACCTCCGTCCGCGCAGGAATGAAGCGAAATCGTGAAATACAGTCACCTGCAGTAGGATTCGGTATGCACTATATTTGTTCAACTTCTAATATTATGATAGAAATAACATTACAGGATGTCAGAAGGACAAGACTCATGCCATATGTACACAACTCGTTGCTTTCTCCTACAAGCACTTGCGCATGTCACGCAGCTAAGTAATTGGACTTTTGCCACATTGAGTAAGAGAGGATCCAGGCGCCTTGCAGCCATGCATTAGTAGCTGCTACTGTTAGTATCACAGATGCAATTATTGTTGTTGTTGTTGCTACTGCTGCAGGAAGGCATGGTACATCTCCAGGTTGAGAGGCTGCAAAGAGAAGAGGAAAGGAAAGGGATTAAAAGAAGAGCATGAGTGCAATTGATATGGCGTTGAGGGTGGCGGGAGAGGAGCAGAGAGAAGGGAGACCAGTGCATGCAAGAGGGGCATAGGGGAGAGGAAAGAATAAGGGCCCGAAGGACAAGAGAGCTTTCAGGAGAGAAACGAGGAGGAGAGGGGGAAGGAAGCGAGGGGAGCGGGAATATGGGAGAGGGGAATGGGGGAGAAGGAAAGGGAGAGGCGATGAGAACAGCGGAGAGGCATTGTGCAATGTGCTGACCTGCTGCTGCTGCAAGTGTTGCTGTTGCTGCTGCTGCATGCGCTGGTGCCGTGCCAGGTACGCTTCCATAGGGTCCACCCCTGCCGCCCGCACCTGCCGCCCACCCTCCCCCCTTTCTGCACCCCCCGCTGCCACACCCATCCCGCCCATCGCCCCACACCCGCCATCACCACCGTTGCCACCCCCATTAAGCCCATTTAGAGCCTCCTCGCCCTGCATGCCCACTCCCAGCGCTGCCCTCTCCCGTGCCTGCTGCACCTGCCTCTCCCGCTGCTGCTGCTGCTGCTGCACCTGCTGGGCTTCGTGCTGCAACTGCTGCAGCTGCTCCCGCTGCAGCTCGCGCTGCTGCTGCTGCGCCTGCAGCTGCGCCATCAGCCGCTGCTGCTGCTGCTGCACCCGCTGTCTCTGCATCGCACCTGCTTCATCTGCTGCCGCTGCCGCTTCTGCTGCAGCAGCAGCGTCGGCGGCTCGCCCTGCGGCCCCTGCAGCAGCCATTTCCATCATCAACCCCATCTCCTGCTGCGCTGCTGGCAGGGACGAGAAATCCGATAGACCCATGCTCATGCCTGCGCCCATGCCTCCGCCCATGCCCATACCCAAACCTCCCATGCCTCCCAGCCCCAGCCCCCTCATGCCGAGCCCCAATCCCCCTAGTCCGCCCATTGCGCCCATTCCGCCCATGCCACCCATTCCCCCCATCCCCAAGCCCATATCCCCCAGGTCCATCCCCCCCATTCCCATCCCCCCGAGCCCAAAGCCTCCCAGCGCAGCGCCAGGGGCGGGGAGCTGGTCCGCGGACGGGGTGCCAGACGGGAGGGCGGAGAGGGAGGTGGGGTGGGGGAGCGCGAGCGCGGGGGGGAGCGCGATGCCTGTGCGGGCGGACATGACGTGCAGCTGCAGTTGCAGCATCCGCAGGTACTCTATCGCCTCATCCAGCATCGACGCCTTGTCCGTCTGGCGGAGCGGAGGGGCGGAGGAGAGGCGGGCGAGAGGGGGGAGAAAGAGCAAGGACGGGGGGAACAGGGGCGGTGGGTGACGGGCGAGAAGCAAGAGGCTGGGGGCGAGGGCAAGAGGGCGAGGGCAAGAGGGCGAGGGCAAGAGGGCGAGGGCATGAGGGCGAGGGCAAGAGGGCGAGGGCAAGAGGGCGAGGGCAAGAGGGCGAGGGCAAGAGGGCGAGGGCATGAGGGTGAGGGCAAGAGGGCGAGGGCAAGAGGGCGAGGGCAAGAGGGCGAGGGCATGAGGGTGAGGGCAAGAGGGCGAGGGCAAGAGGGCGAGGGCATGAGGGTGAGGGCAAGAGGGTGAGGGCGAGGGCAAGAGGGTGAGGGCAAGAGGGTGAGGGCAAGAGGGTGAGGGCGAGGGCAAGAGGGTGAGGGCGAGGGCAAGAGGGCGAGGGCAAGAGGCGAAAGGCGCGGCGCAAGGGGTGAGCAGCAGAGAGCGAGGGGCGGACGGGGAGCGAGGGGCGGGGAGCGGGGAGCGGGGAGCGCGGAGCGAGGGCGCACCTTGTTGGAGTTGGGGATGAGCTGCTGCAGCGCCTTCATGCGCTCGTTGATGCGGTCCCGCCGCCTCTGCGCGCGGGAGGGGGGGGAACACACGCACCACACGCGCGGGGGGAGACGGGGGAACGAATGAGACGGGGGACAGTTAAGACGGCAGAAAGGGCGAGGTGGGGGAAGGGAACGGACGGGCGGAAGAGGGATGCAGATAGGAGCACGGGAGCAAGGAAGCAGAGGCGCGCAAAATGTGCATGCACGCCAGGCGCACTGATGAACCACCTTAATCGTTTCCGCCCCCCCCTTCCTCCCTCCCACATCCTCGCCCCTCCCCTTCCGTGTTCCCATAGACACCCCCTCCGCCCTCCTGCCCGTTCGCACCGCATTCTCCCCGCGCCCTCATCTCGCCGCCACTCACCCGCTCCGACATGTTGTGCACTTCAGCGGCGCGCGCTCGCTTCGCCGCGCTGCCCTCCATGCCGCTTCTCCGTCCCGCGCCGCTCGTCGCCCCCGTAGCGCCAGTCGCGCCCGTTTTGCGCGTATCCAGACTCTCCTCGGGCAAGTCCTCTGTCGGCGCGTACTCCCCTTCCTCCCTCCCCCGCTTCCGCCCTCCGCGCGCCCCTCCGCGGCTCGCTCCGGGCAGCCACGAGTCCTTCGTTCCGCCGATGCTGGCGGTGCGCGCAGGCCGCTCCGCCTGCCCTGTCCGCTCCGTGCCCCCGCCCGCGCTTCCTTCGCCCCCGCTGCCCCCTGCACTGCCGCCTCCGCTACCCTCCTCCGCGCGCCTCACCATTCCGGAGCTGCCCGTCGCGGCTCTTTCCGCTTTGTGCGCGCCGTTCACTCCGCAACCGGCGGGCGCGTTGCTCGTCACCGTCGACGCGTGCCCCGCGTCGGGCGACCGCTCCGCCGCAGTTGCCGCCGGCTCCTGCGCTTGATCGTGTTGACGCGCGTCGGCCCGCAACTGCCGCTGCTGCGGTTGCTGCTGGCGCGACACGTTTAATGGGGCGTACGGCAAAGGCCGGCACGCCGCACTTTGCGGCGCGCCGTGGGTCGCGCCGGTAATCGCGACGGCACTGGTGTTGGACTCGCTGGCCTGGCGCGGCACGTTGCTACGCGAGGCGGGAGGTTTCGACACACCCTGTGCCGACGCGCCCGCCGCTCCTGACGCCGTGCCGGCCGCTGCAGTCGCCGTCGTGCCAACCGCTGCATCGCGAATCCCCTCGGTGGGAGCGACGGCAAGCGCGTTGGAATCGCCAGCGGACGACGCGGGACGCGGCGCGAGCTTGCCCGTTTTAAGAGAAGCCAGGGCCTTACTCGCCAGGCGCGCGCTCACACCCGCGATGCCGGCGTTGCCGCCGGGTTGTGGCGCCGCACTTGACGACGCGCCCACAGCACCGGCGGGGGCGGCGGAGACCGCAGGAGTGGCGGAGGTGGCGCCCAAGGGCTTGGCGCTGGCGCGGCCGTAAAGAGCGGCGGGGCGGGAGAAGTGGGAAAAGTTGAGCGGCGGGGAGGCGACAGGCGCGGGGATGGGGAAACGCGAGACTTGCTGCTGCTGCGACGGATGCTGCTGCAGCTGCTGGTGCGATTGCTGCTGCGGTGGCTGGTGCGACTGCTGCTGGCTCTTCAAAGCTTCCCCCTGGGCAGCTTCCGCCAACCCTGCAGCCTCGTCGCCTTGCTGCTGCTGCTGCTGCTGCTGCTGCCATATCTGCCGCAGCTTCATCTGGTGCTGCTGCCTCAGTCGCTGCTGTTCCAGCAGCAGCAGCTGCTGCTGCAGCCCAGCCTCCTCGTCCGTCTCCTGCTGCTGCAACCCCTGCAGCTGCTGCTGTCGACTCGCGCGCACCTGAGCCACGTGCTGCTGCTGCTGTAGCTGCTGGAGCCGCAGGTGATTCAACAGCTGCGCCTCGCGCTCACCCCTCTCCCCCGCACCACCCCCGCCGGCTTCCGCTCCGCCAAGTCCGCCTAAGCCCCGCTTCTGCGCCAACAGCGACGCGGCCACCATGCTGTTTAGTCCGCCCGCGCCTCTGCCTCCCATCTCAGTCGCGGAAACGCCAACCGGCTCGGCGCGCATCTGCGCCTGCAAGTTTCCGCAAAGCGCCGCGGCATGTGCGCCCATGTCTGCGCCGGCTCCGGCCTGCACGGCGGAGATCTCATCTGCGCGCCAGCCCTCCAACCCCTGTCCGCCGTCGTCGACACTAAGTCCCTCCACCGCTCTCAACCGCCCGAAACCGTCTATGGGCTCGCCCAGCGGGTACTGAAACCACGCCTCCATCTCTTCTTCGCGCAGTGCCGCCGCGTTCCCCCCCGCACCCCCCGGCGGCGGGAGCTGCGCGGCGAGGAGGCCCTCGAGAGTCGCGTCGCGGGGAAGGGGGGAATTGCGGAGAGACGAGGGGGCGACGTCGGTGGAGGCGGGCGGGGGGGGTTTGAGATGCACCTGCCATGCCGGCTTGCCCTGCCTGTTCGCGGCCTTGCTCGGAAGGTCGTGCGTGTTGTCGAGCCATGAAGCATCCAGTAGGTCGTGCTCGGGGCTGGAGAGAGACATGAAGAAAATTAGACGATCTTAAACAATAATAATTACATAAAAAGGATCAAGCGCAGTTTTCATTAGATGCGTGGAAATGTCACAGGATGATAAGGAGAAGATCGGTGGAAGCGGTACAGAAAATGCATGATGATCCTAAGATGATCGTAAACCGTCACCGCACAATACAAGTTAATAACGAGGATAGAAGCTTTTATGGGTGCTCACACAAAGGCGAGATCGTCGAAGATGGTAGCGGGTTTCTTGGCGTGCTGCATCACCACCCACTTGGCCTTCAGCGATGGAAAATCCTCCGCCATCGATGGTATCGCGTCGCTCTCGCGTGCCGCCATCCTATTTAGTCTCGCGGGTACGGGAAGGGATCGATTATTATTTGGATACAAAAGCAGGTAATCCACTTACAAGCTAACAAGCTAATCGCACGATTTCGGTATATCCGACGTATAGCTAACAAAATTCCGGCAGACGGAAGGCTGCTGGGGACGAAGCTCGGTCTTTACTAATGGATGTAGATGCATATCACGCTGAGGCAAGTGAGTCTAGGTTTCTGAGGCGCAGAACTCAAGTCATGCTAGGTTTCATCTTTCTTCAATAATGAATCAGAGCAAATTGCCAGATTGCAACCTTCCTCTGCTTTTGAAACAGCTTGCCAGGTGAACACAGCCAGCCTTGCTTCCTCCCCTTGTACCCTCACTTGCCTTCTCCCCCAAGCTTCGAGTGAAGGTGTGGTGGGGAGATAAATGCGGTGCTGTGCATGCCTGTTGCGCGCGCGCCACTCGTCTCACTTTCCTTGCATCTTTGCCTGACTTCGCCGGGCAGAAAGCAGGGCATAGCAAAAACCAAAAGCCTCTGACTTTTCCCAGCCACTTGTGGTGGTGGTGACATCTGCCGATTCTAGCCTCGGAGCTGTCAGAGGGATCTGGGTTTCAGGGATGGAGAGAAACGGAATGAGGGGCAGCGAAAAGTGGAGGGGGGAAGAAGAGGTTTGGGGGAAAGGAGGGACAATGGATCTGCAGTTGCGTGGTGGAGGTGAGGTAGACGGGGAGGCAGCACTGTTGAACGATTTGTTATCCGGTCAGACGAGCGAACTGACCGGGGTATCTGTTACTGTACACAAGTCAAACCTCCTGGCCAGCCTCGGAGCTCTTCGTTCGTTTTGTCTCGGAGCTGCCCAGCCTTCCGCGCGATGCACAATGAAGAGACTGGCTGGCTGTTTTTTTTAGCCAACGGCAGCATCCACCTCTTGCAACAATGATGCTCGCATCATGTCGCTGCCATCTAGACAAAAACACCTCTTTGTCCAAGTGCGTTGCTGTCCTATCAAAGCTGCCCGAAAACGATCAATTCCGGCACACATCGCGGAAGAACTGAAACCCTAGTCCAAAGGCAAATATTTTCTTTCTCAAACCCAGACATTATCCACTTTGTGCATCTTTTGCGTCGTTGCTGACACCTCCAACGCATGCTCCAACCACATTTGCGGCTACAATCTCACGGAGGAGGCTCGCCACCAGATTCACACCACTCGTTTTGGGGTATGGCCGTTGAGCTACAGTAACATCCGCTGACTGCAGCCACGCGTTTTGTACCTTCGATTCTTCGAATGGCTCCCAGCATTCCATCTGATTCACTTTCACGCCTCGGGGACCGCACTAGATTTGTGTATGGTTGTCCAGCATGGAAGTGATCTTCGCTTATATCATGTACAGAGTATAGGTAGGAATCTTGACTGGATGTATACCATTGCCTTTTCAAATTGCTTAAGTGAAGCTTGATGTTTGTTGACATCCTCTTGGAAACGCTGACATACCATAAGTGTCATTGAATAAAGGAAAAAAATGTGTAATGTCAACGACGTTACTTCAATTCGAGGATAACAAGAAATGGGGGAGAAGAAGATGCGCGAAAGGAAAATTAGAGGAAAGAGGAGAAATCGAAAGTGAGGGAGATTAATAGTGTATGTTCATGTTTAAGGGATATTACGAGACCTAACAAAGCATATGTTCTAGAGGTCCAAATGTTGTTGTAACATTTCTGTGTTAAATGAACACAATTTTAATTGGTTACTGAACCAAATAACTAACGGGGGTGCTTACAGAGATGTATTGTTCTTTTCACCATCGCGTGTTTGGTTCGTTTCAACACATCACCCCAACAACCATCTGCTGACCGACTGGGTGAAATGCGACGACTGGTCTGTCGTTGGTTCCTGCGGCGTTCAACCGTCAGTCGGTCGAACGAAACGGATTGTCCGTGTCGTCCGCATGCAATCGCGTGGTTGAACGGTCCACCTGCGGTTTTCCTCCTCCTATCCACCATCCAGCGTGTGACCCCAAACCACCCCAGCCTGTAACCGACCACCACCTGTTCGCGCGCGCTGACGCGGACGCGTGCGAGCGACACTTCACTTCACCACAACGCCAGCTTCGACACGGGCACCGCACCATGCTTCCAGCGCACCACCAGCAGGCTCGGATCAGGTAATCCATGGGGCAAGCCTAGTCAGCGTTGAATCGTGTCGGACCAACCAACGCCCAGTTTGGATTGAGATGCTGCTTCCCAGAATCCCACAATTATTGCTCACCGTCGCGCGTCACGTCCTCAGATCTGCTCTCCGCGACATCGTAGTTAGTGTTTGACACTTAGCAGTCGGTGGAAATGGCGACCGAAGAACCTGGCTCGATCCGCACACGTCGCCCGCATCGGTGCTCTGAAAGCGCTGTGCATATATGGTCGTCTCGTATTGCGTTTTCAAAGCAGTCTGCTCTCAGCATCAATCTCAATCCTGAATCGGTATCAGCTCATCTCAGCACAGTTCCAAGTTGAAATATTTGCTTGTAGCTTGAAGGCAAAAACTTTAGAAGGCCCAGAAGATGGGACCCGTTGTTCGCGCCGCTTTCATTTTATTCGTCGCTACAGTCGGGCTGTGCCTCGTTCACGCGGCTGACACCAGCAAAGGCGCTGAAACAGCACTGCTTGGGGCGAGTGCAATCGTAGTGGAGGCGTCGTCGCGAGAGGTTCAAGCCCACAGGCGGGAGTTGAAGAAAATCAAAGTTCAGCAGGGGTGCGGTGGGGGATCGGGAATTTGCCCATACTCTGGCGTCGCTGGCTGCAGCGTTCCCGATGTCTTCTGCGGTGGCGCCTGCTGCACGGTAAGACTTTTCAGTCCTGAAAGGTCGCTCTCTGCCGAATAAGTTTCCGGCTCTACTTTGAGTGCGAGCATAATTATTCTGTATATACGCCTCTTGTGTGGTGCAGGATTCTGCGGAGTACCCTTGCTGCGGAGGGATTATGTGCTGCAAGAAAGGAGGATGTTATCAAAACAATCACGGCCACTGGGGTTGCTGTCCCATTGGAAAGAAAGCATGTGGTAAAAAGTGTTGCTAGGGGAAGGCTATAATGGGATGTGGTTTTTTGTTCAGATTGTATCTTTCTGTAGTAGTTGTACAGGCTCTGTATAGCTTTCTAACTATCTTATTACTGCATGCTTTTGTCCAAAGTTCACTGCTATAACGGCTTGCAAATGACCAACATAACGATGAGAATGGATGCATGCAGTTTTAAAATATGGGCGATAACATGACAAATTTGTAGCAGTACATGTCGATAACGAGGTGATCAGCTTCCCAAGTGGTTTCCTTGAAACCCCAATCATGCTTCCTGCCCATCCAGCTGGCTCGCGAGCGTGAGGGGCACGCTCACATGCGGCCATGCTGGCAGCGCGCTGCGTCACCGCCGCTTCACACCAACAGAGGTTGCCAGAAGCCAAGCGGTGCGAGGGAGCAGAGCGTTGGAGCCGCGATCTCGCACCCCCCCTATTGAATCTCCAACCCCAAATTGACGCGGGATGCGGCTCGGTTCAAATGCGAGCGCTGCAACCAGCACACAACGAGATTCAACGAGATGGGATGGGATGGGAATGCAGTCGAGGGGGGGAAAGGGTGAGAGAGCAACAGAACTAACTCATCCCTGTTCCTAAACAGCTAGGTCCCCTCTCCCGTACCTCGCTTCTGCCACACGTGTCTCAACATGGCTGCGCAACCTCTCCATTCGGGCATCTCCATCGATCCATCGCCCATTCTTTTCTTCAGCCACGGATACGTTAAGAGCGCGGATCGTAGTCTCTAGAAGCCTTGATTGTCGAGATTTAACAGTTCATATTGTTTTAATCCAGCGCCCGTTCAAACTTCCTTTGAACACGTTCTGTGCTCGTAACTATGAGGTTGTCGGCGTGCTGGGTCCTCTTCATCTGCATCGCGGCGCACATATCGATCATCCATGTAGCGGGAAACGAAGATGCTGCTACAAGCCGTCGGCAATTCAACGAAACAGTTTCAGAAAGCCCGTCTTCTGATGGATTGCTCCACTTCAGCCGACGAGAACTGCGCGTCGAGCGAGGGACAAAGCGATGTGAGGAGGGAACGGGCGTGTGTCGCTACACGGGAACGGACACGTGTCAACCACGTGACATCTTCTGCGGCGGCGAGTGCTGCATCGTGAGTACTATGTGGCGCGATTCCTTGCCAAGTCCCAAAAATAACTCGATGATTTTCCGAAACATCCCGACCGCCGACTATTTTGGTGCGTCCCTACAAGCCGTACGACGTGCCGAAGCTAGATCATCACGAATGGCGCCTGTCGTGCCTCGTCTCGATCGCGCGGCGAGGCGAAGGCGCTTAAAATCTTTGAATGCGTCACCCCGTCAGCAAGCACTGACGGCCCTGCGAACAGGTCCCACGCCACACACACGCACTCCACACAATCGCGCACTCCGCACGTCCGCGTCGTTTAAAAGTTGACATCCGGGGGGTCACGATGGCTCGCACGCACGCAGGTTCAGCTCGTGAACGCAGGTGCCAGTGGGTTGACACTGCGAACAATTCCCCCATACCACCGTTAATTCCCCGGACCATGCCTTCGACAGACCCTCCCAAGTTCCACACGGACCCTTCTCGTTCCCCTCTCAGACCACTTTCATACCGTTACCACTACTCACCCTCCCGTTTCCCTCGTATCCCTCCCATTGGCCTCCCATTCCTCTTCCATTTCCCCTCTCGTTTTCCAACAATTCCTCTCCCGTTACCCTCCCGTTTCCATCCTATTTCCTTCTCCATTCGCTCCCATTCCCTTACCATTTCCCTCCCTTTGCGCCAATTCCTCTCTCGTCCCCCTCCCATTCACCTCTCTTTCACCTCCCATTCTCCTTGCTTTCTGATTCATTTCTGCTCCCATTCCCTCCCATCTCACTCTCATCTCACTCTCATCTCAAACCCCATCTCACCGCCCATCTCATCCCCTCACCCCCAATCTCACCGCCCATCTCATCCCCTCATCCCCCATCTCACCGCCCATCTCATCCCCCATCCCCCGTGCATGGCAGGACGCACACGAGTACCCGTGCTGCGGGGGGCGCATGTGCTGCCGCAAGGGGGCGTGTTACGAGCGGAAGAGAGGGCAGTGGGACTGCTGCCCGCTGGGGAAGAAGGCCTGCCACAATGGCAGACGATGCTGCTGGAATAGTTGAGATTCGAGCAGTGAAAGCTGTTACTAGAAAGGAGAATGGTAAGTACGGTAGTGCCAGAAATGAGTGCGCCTTTTTTCCAGTTCTAATTGCTTCTTTGTTGTCAGGGTTTATGTATAGTAGTACCCGATTTTGGGTAATGCGCTGGACAGACACACTATTAGGGTGTGGATGCAGCATAAATCTGTTGAGATTTATGAGCACAATAATTGGAAGCACCTAAAGCGTCACTGTCCACATAAGACAATCATTATTCCAATCAAAGTTGCAGACATGGGTGTGACACTGGAGTTTGACTGTCGTATGTCCATGATTCGCTCCCAGTGACTTGGTGTTCGCATTAGTAATCTGTAGCAATATTTTGTAAAATTTTAGTGGTAGAGAAATGGTTTTGCCTTGTGGAGTCCGTACGCAACTGGGAGTACCACAGCACTCTGTGACGAAGCAAGGACCAGATGGTTACTGGTGCTTGATCGACATTTGTACGCCGAACCTGTTACAGTATTGAGAGCGCCGTCAGCTGTGCTTCCGTTCCAGAGAAATTTGAAGAGGTTTTATGCACGCGCGCGTGTGTGCGGGAATCGGTTCGGGAATCGGTTTTATGCTTGAGAAGAACCCTTCCCATACCTGCACCCAAACCCCCTGATCCTTTCCACAAAGAATCACAGGCACACCGAGCCTCACCAAGACCGCGAACCAGGAAACAGCCAACCACGATGCACCAAACTTCACCTGACCAGCATGCTGAACCACCAAGTTTGGCGCCGAACCACATAACACCGACCACCATCACATCGCATCACACAAAACCCCTCCACTCAAAAATCACCTCCCCCTCTGCGAAAATTTTGTCCCCCCCTCCCTTCCGGGCCCCGAGTAATCGCCTCCTTCCACCATATATCGAGTCGCGTACGAGCTTCACATGCATCTGGCGCGACCAGCAAGCAATGAGAAGAGTGAGGGAATTGAGAGAGGTGGGTTGGGCTTGATTGAAGCTTGATGGGGTTCAGAGACACTTACAATTGGCCCCTTCTCTAACTGTGTATGCCTCTAACCACACTGTTTGCTTTGTCTCCAATCGCGACTTTGCGACTCCTGTGGCCTGTCCCCGTGTTTCTCCCAGCCTGCAAGAAGGTTGTATGGAACGCTTTGTAGTTCGTAATTGTTGTGGGATTAACTCGAGACAGCTGATTTTTTCGTCCCGCTTCGCTGTTATTTATACTTTCTAGGCCACTCGCTCATCCTTCACGATGAAGTCGAATGCTGTGACGTTTCTACTGATAGCCATCGTTGCGCTCCTTCCGCTAGCCGACTCATCCTTCAGGGAAGGTGACAAAGTCGCGACGACGGCGCTCGGGCAGACCGCGATTTTCGATGATAGGCACGCAGCCGTTGCGTCATCGGCGGAGCAAGCAGGGCGGCGGGAGCTTCTGGTGGTGGCGGCGAAGCGACCGGTGAAGTGTCCGAAGCCGAACACGGGCGTGTGCGCGATGTCGGGGTACCCCGGCTGCCAGAAGCCCCGCATCTACTGCAGCGGCGCCTGCTGCATCGTGAGTCGTGCTGGGGGTGTAGAAACTGAAGCGTGCCAATTCGGCGACTGCGAGACGGGCTCGTTTCAGCAGAGAGGCACTGTTGCGGGTCCCTGGGTAAAAGCTGTGCGGGAGAACGGCGAGAGGGGGCAGGGTGTGCGCGTGAGCGGAAGAGTCGTGAGCGAAGAGCTGTGACCGACGAGTTGTGAGCGACCGAGAATGCGATGCTGAACGAGCCGCGAGCGAACGAGGTGGTTCCGCAATATCGTGTCTATCCATTCGCACGTTTTCCCCGTCACTCTCGCTTTCTCTCTTTTGGTTGACAATCGTGTCTCTTTCTTACTTTTCCATCCCTCCCAACGCACTGTCCGGCGCGGCTACTGGCGGCGGGGCAGGACACGCACGAGTACTCGTGCTGCGGGGGCATCATGTGCTGCAAGGTGGGCGCGTGCTTCCGCAACGTCACGGCGCGCACGTGGGGCTGCTGCCGCATCGGCTTCAAGGCGTGTGGCGGACCCAAACCCGGCAGCAGGTGTTGCCGACTGTGAGCAGGAAGGGCCCGTTGCAAGCAGTACGAGAAAGGATAGTGAAGGTCCCGACTCCCGTGCATGCAGGCTTACGTGGATCTGGGTGCTGCTGGGCACTCGTCGTGAGCGGTTGTAGCCTTGAGCCTGGTCCCATGGCACTTCGCGGGCTCTGCGCTCTCACGACCCGTGGACACAACATGCGAGTCCTCTCTGGGCCAACACATCATGACAGGGAACGAAGCCTGGTAATGGAGAACGAGAGCCCTTACAGTACTAGTATGGATCTAAACTTCCAGTGGGTGGGTCAATCTGATGCTCGTATAGAACGAGAAGGTTAGCTAGGTTACAAGTATATTCCTCCACTCATGTGCTATGCTTATTATTATATACATCCTGGCAAACTTATATAAGTAAGGTATGAGCTAGCATGCTGTCTTACTATGTGCATCTTACCGAGGATATTTCCTCGCCTGGTTTGCCGTCAGCTGGACAACCGGTCCGGACCAATCCGCACTGCACGTCAACTCTCCCAGCGGAGTCCCGCAAGGAAAGCTCGCCCCATGAGCCAACCTGCTACAGTGTTTCCGTGCCATCAAGGCAAGATTACACCCTGTTTCTCAGCTTTCTGACAATCGGGAGCCCCGGCTACAGTGCGAACGTGAGCTTGGATTTTGCGGGCTGGTGCTTGCAACCGAACCCCAGGTAGGTGGCGGGCAAATGCACTACAAGAGAACGATACACAACGGTTTATGAAAGAAACAATGCTAACGCGTACGGGTTTTTGCGGTAAATTGTGCTTATATGGTATGTTCTGGGACCGCTGTGGACGCGCTGATGTCAGAATAAGTGGTATGTCAATACAGCGAATGTCAGTGTGGCGCGAAACAGGGTGTATCTCGCGTCATTGAAACGCTCCCCCCAATCCCACTTCCGAGCCTTCCGCGCCATCACGCTCCGCCCGCAGCCCTCGGCTTGGCAGAATGAAACCGTGCTAACACCCCAATCTGTCGAAAACAGGCCCATACCTCGCAGTTCCCCGCGCCTGTCCCTCCCGCCTCATACAAACACACCGCAAGCGCCACTCGTCAGCATGACGCCCCGCCTTCCGAGCGGAGTGGGAGGGTATAAGAAGCGCGCTGGCGGTAGTAAAGACTGCAAGTCGGCAAGCAAAAGCACAAGTCCGCATTCGAATGAAAACTTCACTCCACCAGATATTGAGAGGGCTGCATGCACGCGTCTGCCTCATTTGGTTCTTCCTCTCCCATCACCTCTCCCGCTCCCTGCAGCCATTTTTCCGTCTCCTCATCCCAGTCACCCAGAATACCTAGGTTTCCCGAAACAGCGCGCCGTCGCACGGAGGCGGTTCTATCCGCAGCATCCATGGACGCGGCGACCGTACCGCCGGATGCGTGCAATGTGGAAGAGCTGCGTGATGTGGAACTAGTAAAAGATGCTCTCCTGTCGGGGAAGGATTTAATAAACGATTTGCCCGACGACGTGCTCTCCGCCATTCTCGCACGCGCCTCTGCCGGCGAGACGCTGCACCACGCGCTCGTGTGCCGCCGCTGGCTGCGCCTGGCGCAACTCTCCCAGCAGGCCGTCCTCGTCAGCGCCCCGCGCCACCTCCACGCGGGCGAGTTGCTGCGCGGCTTGGCGCGCTTCCCCAACGCGAACTCGCTCACGCTAGGCGACAAGAGCGTCGACTTTTTCAACGACGCATTTCTGCGCGCGCTGCCCTCCGCGTGCCCGCAACTCTCCCGCCTGCGCCTGGACGAGCCGCAGTACACCGGCGCCCCCCACTTCCGCATCACGCTCACCTGCCTTGGCCGCTTCCTCCGCAGCGCGTCGCGCCTCGAGGAGCTCACTTTGAAGCACAGCCTCGGCCACATCACGAAGCTTCCTTCCTCGCTCGCGTCGCTCTCGTCGCTGCGCGTGCTCAAGCTCTGTCTGAAGCGCCTCCGCGTTCTGCCCGACGAGCTCGGCGCGCTGCGGGCGCTGGAGGAGCTCTCCGTGGTCTGCCCCAAACTCACGAGCCTCCCCGCGTCCGTCGGGCAGCTCCCACGGCTGTCCCGCCTCTGCCTGTCGAGCTGCCGCGAGATGCGCCAGCTTCCCGCGCAGCTCGGCGCGCTGAGCGCGCTGACGGCGCTGGAAATTCACGGGTGGTACCGCCTGGAGGGCATTCCGGAGAGCATCGGCGCGCTGAAGGAGCTGCGCCGCCTGCACCTGCGGAACGTCACATGCGCGCTGCCCAACGTGGGGGAGGAGTGGCGCAAGCTGGAGGAGCTGAGCCTGGAGGACGTTCACGTTAGCCATCTTCCGCCCATCTCCCTCGCGTCTCTCGCGGTCCTCACCATCCGCCAGTGCCGCTTCCTCCGCACGATCCCCGACGAAATCGGCGCGGCGCCAGCCCTCCGCGAGCTCGAGATCGTCGAGGCGCCGCTCACCGCGCTGCCCGCGTCGATCGGGATGCTGACGTCACTGGAGCGGCTGGTGCTGGCGCCGTACGGGTCGGTGAGCGCGCTGCCGGCCGCGCTGCTGGCACTGCCGCGACTTGCGCACGTGGTGCTGAAGAATGTGTCGAGTCTTGATTCGCTGCTGGGGGATTGGGCGGAGGCGGAGGCGGAGGCGGAGGCGGGTGAGGAGGAAGAAGACGCGGAAGGACGGGACGCGGGCGGCGCGGCTGACCGCGAACCCGACGGGGCTGCAAGCACGGCTGATCCCACTGCCACCGCCGTCCCGCCTGCCCCTCCCCCGCCTCCGCTGGCTCCCGCCCTGCGCCACCTGGAGCTGCATATGGCATACCGCGCGCCTCTGGGCCGACTGCGCCGCTTGCCGACCGCGCTGTGGGCGCTGCCGGCGCTCACGCACCTCGGGCTGCACGGCTTCACGCAGCTCGTCGCGCTCCCCGCGCGCGTTGCCCGTCTCACGTCGCTGCAGTCCCTCACCCTCCAATCCTGCTCGCGGATCACCCACCTTCCCCCTGCGCTCGCCGCGCTCGCGCCGTCGCTGCGCGCGCTCACGCTGTCGGACCTCTCCGCGCTCTACTCCTTCCCCCCCGTCGTCTGCCGCCTCACCGCGCTCACGTCGCTCTCGCTCGTCCGCCTGATGCACATCGAGCGCCTCCCCCCCGCGCTCTCCGCGCTCTCCGCCCTCCGCACGCTCAAAGTCTCTATCGCGTCCGAGCTCTCCTCGATTCCCCAGTCGCTCGGCCAGCTGGCAGAGCTCGAGTCGCTCGAGCTGGAGGATTGCCCCGCGCTGCGAAGCCTGCCTGCGTCGCTCGGCCGCCTTACGGCGCTGCAGACGCTGGTGGTGATGCGATGCGGCGCGCTCACCGCCATTCCTGCCGCCATAGGCGGACTCGGCGCGCTGACGCGGCTTAGCCTGACCTCGTGCGGCGCGCTCACCGCGCTGCCGAATTCCATCGGTCAGCTGGGCGCGTTAAAGGAGCTGACTATAACGAACGTGCCAATTGCGGCGCTCCCGGACACTCTCAGCGGGCTGACGTGTCTGGAGGAGCTGCGCGTCTCGGACTGCCTCTCCCTCGCCGCGCTCCCCGCGTCCCTCTGCGCCCTCCCGCGCCTCCACACGCTCTCCCTCACTGCGTGCTCCGCGCTGCACGCCCTCCCGGACGACATCGGCCAGCTGCGCGCGCTCAAGCGCCTCGCCCTCGAGCGCTGCTCCGCGCTCGCCCGCCTCCCCGCGTCCCTAGCGCGCCTTCCCGCGCTCGAGTCGCTCGACGTCACTAGCTGCGACCTTCTCACGCACCTCCCCGACGACTTCGCGCCGCTGCCGCGCCTCGTGCGCCTCGCGATCAACCACTGCCGCGCCTTCGTGCGCCTTCCCGCGTCGCTCCCCCGCCTGCCCGCGCTCCGCGTCCTCTCGCTCTCGTACTGCCCGTCGCTCGCCGCGCTCCCCCCCGACCTCGGGTCCCTGCGCGTGCTGCACTCCCTGCACCTGCGCGAGTGCTCCGCGCTGGCGGAGCTGCCCGCGGGGCTGGCGCGCGCGGAGGGGCTGCGCCACCTGGACGTGTGGGGGTGCGCGGCGGTGGGGGACGACGCGGAGGTGGGCGTGTGCGGGCGCAGCGTGCACGTTGTGCGGGGGAGGCGCGGAGGGGGCGAGTTCGTGGGGGTGAAGCCCAGGAAGAGGCGCGCGGGGCGGGCGGGGGGGGGAGGAGCGGGGGTAGCGGGGGTTCAGGCGGGAACGGAAGCAGGCGGAGGAGGGGCGGAAGGAGGAGAGGCGGCTGGGGGGGGTGGAAGTGGGGCAGACAGGGGCAGTGCGGAGGCTGGGGGATTGGAGGGTGCAGCGGCAGGCGAGGGAGGGGAGGGGGGAGGAGAAGGGGAAGGCGGGATGGAGGCAGAGGGCGAGGGTGCAGGTGGGGAGGACGGCTTGGGGTCACTGGGGCAGGCACAGGGGGCGGGGGAGGGAGCAGGGGAAGGAGAGAATCAGAGGGAGGAGGAGAGGGAGCAGGATAGCGTGGGAGTGGCAGGGGATGAGACGCAGCAGATGGGAGTGGGGGAAGGAGAGGAAAGTGGAGAGGGGCAAGCAGAGGTGGGAGGAGACGGGAGAGGGGAGGAGGGGATGACACGAGAGGGCAGACATGAGGGAGGGGACGGCGATGCGCACATGCATGGGGTTGAGGCAGGGGGAGAAGTGGAGGGAATCGTGGGGGGAGAGGTGGAGAGTGTGGGAGAGGAGGGAGAGAGTGAGGTGAGTGAGGAGGGTGAGGATGGGGATGGGCGCATGGGCTTGAATGACTGCGGTGCAGCAGCAATGCATGGTGATGGCAGCGTTGGCAGCAGGTTGGGGAGCAGAAGCAATGGCAGAGAGGGGGGCACACGGATGGGCAGAGGGAGGGGTGCAGATGGGGAGGCGGGGAGATGGGAGGGCAGGGGGAAGGACAAGGGGGGTGGTGGCAAGCGAGGGCGGGAGGGGGAGGGTGGGAGGATGGAGGGGAAGAAGCGGAGGAGAAAGGAGGCGCGGGCCAAGGCGTGGCGGTGCAAGCGCGCTGCTAACTGCTGCTGAGAGCACGGCTGCCAGCTCGGTTCAAAGGGGTCAAATACAAGACCGTTTCTGCTGCTGCTGCTGCTGCTGCTGCTGGTGTGTGCAGCTGCAGAGTTATTTTCCCGTGTCAGTGGTTGTAGCATTTGGCCAAAATCCATGCCAAGCGCTGTGGTTGCTTGCTCCTCGTTGTATATATTACACCTACTGGAGCAATAAAACCATTTATAGTGGACCTTTCACATTTGCATTGCACTGCTCGAAACCCGTACAAACCGTACCTAGCATGTAGCACACACCGTGAATGCTCTACTGAATTTGTTGTGTTAGGCCTTTCTGGCTGGGCGTCCTCATCTTCCCTCCAATAGTTTTCTCCCCATTCACTGGTCTTCGGTCACTCTCTCTCCCCTTTCTTCGCCACTTCCGTTCGAGCACACGATACACACAAGCCACTTTCCTTCCTGGCAAAATTCCAGTATAGCATGATAAAACAAGAATCTAAGCAAATCCTAGGCCACTGCGATGCGCGCTCAACTACCTAGCTGCCAGCGCTCCTGAATCCCTGGGGATGAGGGACTGGCCGGTCGCTCATCCCTCGCCCGGTCGCTCATCCCTCGGCTGGACGAGCAGCAAGCCTGTGGTGCATGCTGCCTTGCTAGCCGCGGAGCCTCATCCTTGCAGTCTTCCTGCTCCTCTCGAGGCTCTGCTGCCAACAACCTTGTCCACCTTTCTTCTCCCAACTACCGGTACTTCTCCCAGAGACCCCCCAACTATTTGCTACCAATATCGTTCCTCAGAGTCGGTTGGTCGGACCACACCCCTGCTTGGTTAACAAAGAAACCAAAACAGCTATTCGTCACGTACCCCTTGAGCTGCTGTGTTACCCGCACTGGACATCCCACTTTTCCGTACATTGTATGACTGGTGTGGGTTACGCGGCATAATGGGTACCCCAGCACACAGCAACAATTATGCCATTGTGTGTTTCCCCAGCACAGCACAGCATTGTGCTCTGCCATGCCCTCACTGCTGTGCCATGTCCCCAGCGCTGTGCCATGCCCCCAGCGCTGTGCCATGCCCCCAGCGCCGTGGTGTCTACTGGAGTGCGGCGCTGCGGCGGCGGCGTTGCCACAGAAGGTTCTTGCGCCTGGCAGGGGGGGAAAAGGGGTGCAGGACGGGATTGCGGCGGTGTGGCAAAAGGGGACAAGAGGTGCACTTCCCTCACTGCTTGGCGCTGTGGCGGCGGCGCTGCCACAGGAGGTTCTTGCGCCTGGCAGGGGGGCGGAGAGATGGGTGCACGACGGGCAGCGGCGGTGTGCACACAGGCGAGCAGGTGGCATGGTCATGTGTGGCATGGTCATGTGTGGCATGATCATGTGTGGCATGGTCATGTGTGGCATGGTCATGTGTGGCATGGTCATGTGTAGCATGGTCATGTGTGGCATGGTCATGTGTGGCATGGTCATGTGTGGCATGGTCATGTGTGGCATGGTCATGTGTGGCATGGTCATGCGTGGCATGGTCATGCGTGGCATGGTCATGTGTAATGCATTGTGTTTCGTGGCATAGGAGGAGAGGGGTAAGGGTCTTAGGTCTTACGCGGCATAGGTAGAGGCAGTGGAGCCATTGGAGGCGGAGGGCACATAGGGAGCGCTCTCGCCCAGCAGTGCCCCCTCCTCTAGAATGATCTCCACGCTCTTCTCCAGTATCTCCTGCTGCACTGGCAGGAACTTGCCCTTGCTCTGCATGGCGATGGAGGGGGAGTGTGGGGTGGAGTGAGATAGGAGTGGGCGTGCGGGCACGAGGGAGTGAAAGGAGGTGGCGGGAGTGGCTCATGATGGCAGCCCCCTCCGCTAGAATGATCTCCACGCTCTTCTCCAGTATCTCCTGTTGCACTGGCAGGAACTTGCCCTTGCTCTGATGGGGGGGGGACCGGTGGGGTGAAGTGAGTTGGGAGGGGTTGGTGGCACGAGGGTGGAAGGAGGTGAGGAGCGGAGGGAGTGGCTCATGATGGCCTCCTCTAGGATGATCTCCACGCTCTTCTCCAGTATCTCCTGTTGGACTGGCAGGAACTTGGCCTTGCTCTGAGTGGGAGGTGGGAGGGGGAGGGGGGGAGCAAGGGCGACGGGGGGTGATGGCATGAGAGGGAGAGGAAGAAGGTGGGGAGAGGGAGTGGCTCATGATGATGCCCACCATGTCGTTCATGGACGCCACAACACCAATCTGCAGCCCCGGCCCCGTGCGCTGCTTCAGGTACCCCATGGCCCCCCAATGCAACCCCCCCCCCCCATCCTTCCCCCTATGCGCCCCCCCATCCTTCCCCCCATGCGCCCCCCCATCCTTCCCCCCATGCGCCCCCCCATCCCCTCCCCATGCATCCCCATCCACCCCCCCTTGCACCCCCATCCTCTCCCCACCACCCACCACGAAACCGATCTGCAGTCACGAGCCGGTGAGCTGCTTAAGGTACCCCATGGCGGGCCCTTGCTGCGCTCCACGCGTGGGTACCACACCCCATACCATGCACCCACCCATTACCCCTCGCCCTCCACCCACCATGTCTTTGATAGACGCCACGACACCAATCTGCAGCCCCGACCCGGTGAGCTGCTTTAAGTACCCCATGGCGGGGTCCTTGCTGACGCGCGGGTCCTGCTGCAGGCGATGATGGCAGTGTGTCTATTCACCCACCCACACTCAATACACCCCCATTTCACCCACACTCAATACACCCCCATTTCACCCACACTCAATACACCCCCATTTCACCCACACTCAATACACCCCCATTTCACCCACACTCAATACACCCCCATTTCACCCACACTCAATACACCCCCATTTCACCCATGCACCCTCTATCCCGTGCAACCACCCGCTAACCATCCCACCGCCCACCATGTCTTTAATGGACGCCACGACACCAATCTGCAGCCCCGATCCGGTGAGCTGCTTCAGGTACCCCATGGCGGGGCCCTTTGAGCGGTCCACGCGGGGGTGCTGCTGCGGATGATGGCAGTGCTGCCATTCATTCACGCATGGTTGATACACCAACCACCCCGCCCATGCACACCCCATCCCATGCACCCACCCATTGAACCTCGGCCACACTCACTTGGTCTTTAATGGAAGCCACAACGCCAATCTGCAGCCCCGACCCGGTGAGCTGCTTCAAGTACCCCATGGCGGGGCCCTTGCTTTTGTCCACCCTTGGGTGCTGTTGCAAGTATGCCGTGAGTGCGTGAGTGATGGCCTTCACGCGAGGCACGTCCTCGTGCCGCAGCACGAACGCTGCCTCCAATGTCTTGCACCCCGCCCGCGTGAGGTTCGTTATGACCTGGGGAGGGGGAGATGGGGTGGGGGTGAGGTAGGAGGGGGGGCAGTGTGGCAGGAGGTGGGGCACAAGCAGAGGGGTGGTGGGTGTCACATGGGGGAGGAACGGGAGGGCCAAGGGTGCTGCTGCAGGTAGGACGTCAGCACGTGCGTGGTGGCCTTCACCCGTGCCACGTCTTCATGCCGCAACACAAAGGCGGCCTCCAGTGTCTTGCACCCCGCGCGCGTGAGGTTCGTGATGACCTGGGGGGGGGGGGAGATGGGGTGGGGGTGAGGTAGGAGGAACAGTGGGGCAGGAGAGGGGTGTTGGTGGGGCAAGAGCCGAGGGGTGGTGGATGTCTCATGAGGGAGGAGGGGGGGCGAAGGGTGAAGCAGGTACGCCGTGAGTACGTGTGTGATGCCTTCCTCGCGGCACGTCCTCGTGCCGCAACACGAACGCGGCCTCCAGTGTCTTGCACCCCGCCCGCGTGAGGTTTGTGATCACCTGGTGGCGGCAGGGTGGGAGTGGGGGAGGAGGGGGAAATGGGGCAGGGGTAAATGGGGCAGGGGTAAATGGTGGAGGGCGGGGGGCGAGGAAGGGGTGGTTGGGGGGGCATGAGCCGTTGTGGTGGCCAGAGGAGGGGTGGTGGATGTCACATGAGGGAGGAGCGGGAGGGCCAAGTTGCGAGGGGGCAGAGCGTTGACGGGGGAGGTGAAGATGGCGTTGGGGATGATGATGGGCGCGAGGTCACCCTCCTGCAGCGTGGTGTGCAGGCAGGCATGGCTGACGCACTGCTCACTTCACGTCCAGCCTCTACCATTCTCATGCCTCCCACCTGCACTGCCTCTAAACCCCATGCCCCATCACTGCCAGGAGGTGGTCATATACACCTAAGCTAGGTTATGTAAAAGAGCGCTCACAGCGGAGGTGAAGACGGAATTGGGGATGATGATGGGAGCAAGGTCGTCCCCTTGTGCTCACTGGCCCCATGTCTCTGTTCATTTGTTCTCTTTCCAAAGCCCCTCCCATGCCCCACCAAACGAGGAGAGGAGCGCTCACAGCGGAGGTGAAGATGGAGTTGGGGATGATGATGGGCAAGAGGTCGTCGCCTTCAATGGTGGTGTGCAGGAACCCGACCTCCTGCACCTTGCCCTTGAGCCCCGCCACTCGGATCTTACGGCGGTGGTATGAAGGGGGCTCACCTCATGGTGGAGTTGATGAGAGACACTCACAGCAGACGTGAAGATGGAGTTGGGGATGATGATGGGCGACAAATCATCGCCCTCAATGGTGGTGTGCAGGAAGCCAATCTCCTGCACCTTGCCCTTGAGCCCCACCACGCGGATCTTCTCCCTCAGCGCGAACGGCTGTGTGAGGATGAGCATGAGCCCGCCAAAGAAGTTGGTCACGACCTTCTCCGATGCGAACGCCAACGCGAATCCTGGGAAGGGATGGAGGAGGAGGGGGCGGACAGTGGGGTGAGTCAAAAGTGGGGGGGAGTCAAAAGTGGGGGGGAGTCAAAAGTGGGGGGGAGTCAAAAGTGGGGGGGAGTCAAAAGTGGGGGGGAGTCAAAAGAAGGGGGGGGAGGGAGCGAGGTTTGAGTGGGCTTGGGGAAGAGCGCCAGCACGAGCCCGCCCAAGAAGCTGGTCACCACCTTCTCAGATGCGAATGCCAACGCGAAACCTGGGATGGGATGGGAACAGATGGGGATGGGGATGGGGATGGGGATGGGGATGAGGATGCCTCTCACCGCACCTAGCATGACCCTCACCGCCCTTGAAAGGCACTTCAATGAACGGCGTACGAGAGATGCGTGTCAATGCGCGGCTTACCTGAGATGCCACCGATGGCAATGAGCGACTGGAGGCTGATGCCACACATGTCGGCGATGGTGATGCCACACATGTCGGCGATGGTGATGCCTGCTACCACCTGAGATGCCTCTCCACCCAAGCCCCACCTGAGATGCCTCTCCACCCAAGCCCCACCTGAGATGCCACCGATGGTGATGAGCGACTTGAGGCTGACACCGAACATGTCTCTGATGCCACTGACCCCACTCTCAACCCACTCTAGATGCCCCTCACCTCACCTGAGATACCACCGATGGCGATGAGCGACTTGAGGCTGATGCCAAACATGTCAGCAATGGTGATGCCCGCCAGCACACGCAGCAGCAGCGTCAGCACCGCACTCACGTTCGCCAGCACCGGCTGTTGTAGGGGAAAGGGGAGAGGGGGACGCATGAAGAGGGCGAGCAGGTGTGGCAGTGAGGGAGGGGCGAGAGGGTGATGCCTGCTAACACGCGCAGCAGCAGCGTCAGCACCGCACTCACGTTCGCCAGCACCAGCTGCACGGGGTGGGGGGGGGGGGGGGGGGGGAGGGGGTGGGGGAAGAGGGGAGTAAAGAGGAGGGGGAAAGGGAAGGTGGATGCAGAGATAGGGAATGGAGAGGGCCAGCGGATTGGAGGAGAGGGAGAGGGGAGGGCGAGCAGGTGTGGCAGTGGGGGATGGGAGAGCATGGGGTGTGTGTGGGTGGAGAGTGCGGGGAGTGTGAGTGACACCACATCACGCCATGCCATGCCACTCCCCGCCTTGTCCTCTCCTCGGGGTGCCCCCCTCACCTTCTCCGCCTGCCCCCCTCACCTTCTCCTCCGCCTGCCCCCCTCACCTTCTCCTCCGCCTGCCCCCCTCACCTTCTCCTACGCCTGCCCCCCTCACCTTGTCCTCGGGGTGCCTAGCAGCAATGAGCTTCATCGGGCGGTCCTTTCACCCAATGGCAAACCATGCCATGCCATGCCATGCCATGCCATGTCTCACAGCCTCACCTAGTCCTTGCCTTGCCCCCACGGCCCGTCCCACACCGCGCCTTGTCATCGGGGCGTTTGTCAGCCACAAGCTTCAAGAGGCGGTCCTTCCACCTGATGGCACATTGCACCACACCACGCCATGCCCCACCCATGCCCCACCCATGCCCCACCCATGCCCCACCCATGCCCCACCCATGCCCCACCCATGCCACACCCATGCCACACCCATGCCACACCCATGCCCCACCCATGGCACACCCATGGCACACTATGCCATGCCAAGGCACGCCACGCCCCACCTTGTCATCGGGGCGTTGAGCAGCGACGAGCTTCAAGAGGCGGTCCTTCCACCCGATGGCAAACCACGCCGCCGCCACCACGAGCGCCACGCCCCTCGCCCTCGCCATCAGCGCCGCCTGCCCCGCCTGCCTCAGCGCCGGCACCAGCACATGCAGACTGTGATGTGTGGGGGGGAGAAGGGGGACGGGGGGCGGGGAAAAAGCTGTCACTGCTCTCTGTGTACTTGGGTCGCAGCACCCCATGCCACGCCCCTCGCCCTCGCCATCAGCGCCGCCTGCGCTGCCTGCCGTAGCGCCGGTACCAGCACATACAGACTGCCGTGGGGGGGGGGGGGAGGGGAGGGGAACGAGGGACGGGAGAAAAGGAAAGGGGGAAGTGGAACGAGGGAAGGGGGAAGAGGGACGGGGAAAGGGGGAAAGGGGAAGTTGGAAGGGGGAGAGGGAACGGGGAAGGGACAATTGGGGATGGAGGAAGAGGGAGCGGGGATGGGGGAACGGGGGAGGGGGCAAAATAGGGAAGGAGGGGGAGTGGAGTATGAGTGAGTGAGCATGTGAGGAAGAGTGAGCATGTGAGGAAGAGTGAGCAGAAAGACGACAGCAGCGGGGCAACAAGGCGATGGAGCGATGCGATGCGATGAAGAGGCGGCGCTGAGGAGAGAGAAGGGGAGAAGGGAGGGACTGACTGGCGCGTGAGGAAGGCAGAAGCGAGTGCGAACTGCATGGGGCGGACGAGCGCGCCGAACATGCTGTCACCGAACTCCTCCTCCGTCACCTCCTCGTCGCTCATCACGTACGTCCCCCACACGCTGGCACGACAGGGGGAGTGGCAAGGGGAGGGGCAGGGGCAGGGGCAGGGGCAGGGGCAGGGCGGAGAGGATTGGGGGGGGGGAAAGAAAGGGCGCGGCGAGCATGCTGTCGACGAACTCCTCCTCTGTCACATCCTCGTTGCTCATCACGTATGTCCCCCACACGCTGCCACGCGCAGAGAGGCGGGGGGCAGGGGGGTCAGGGGCAGGGGGGACAGGCAGGGGGCAGGCAGGGTGGAGAGGATGCGGGGGGGGAGAGGGGCGCTCCGAACATGCTGTCGCCGAACTCGTCCTCCGTCACCTCCTCGTCACTCATCACGTACGTCCCCCACACGCTGCCACGCGCAGGCGCGGGCGCACGCGCAGGCGCAGGGGCAGGGGCGGGCGCAGGCGCAGGGGCCGAGCGGAGTGGATAGGGAGTGGGGGTGGAGAAGAGCCGGGAGCATGGGGGGAGGTAGAGAAAAGGAGAGAGAGGGATTAAGTGAAAGAAGAAGGCGGTTCGATGAAACGCGGTACTGCACGGTGCTGCGGGGTGCTGCACGGTGCGGGCGTGCACTGACTGCTGACACGCGTTTTGAGTCCCCAAGTGCATAAGTGCAGCCCAGCAACGCCATCGCCTCGCCTCGCTGCCTCTCCTTGCCCACCCCCTCTCCCCGCTCGTCCCTTCACAACCCCAATGCCTCAGCGCGACGCGCCACGTAAGCGTCTCACTGCTTCAGCACGACACGCCCATCTGTGGCGCTTACTGGTTGAGCGCGCGGCAGATCTGCGGCGCGCAGTAGATGACGACGAGCGTTGCCAGCCCAACGATGCTCTCGCGGAGGAAAAGGACAACCTGCGCCGCCAACACGCAAACGCACAGGAGAAGGCACGCGCATGCGCAGCGTGCAAGCGCAAAGACGGTGGGTGCACTGCCGTGAGCATGCAACGCGATAAACACGGATAGCACAAACGGGCGTGCATTCGAGCCGCAGATCGGCGTCGCGGGGTGGGCGCCGCGCCGATAGTACACGTTTCACACTGTAACGGCTCACACTGTAACGCATCCTGCATCGCACACCGCGCCCGCCGCTGCGCCCAGGGTCCCATTCCCACCCCGAGCGCGTCCCCCGCGCGACTCACCGACACCTCCGTGAGCCCGAGACCCGCCGCGAACCCTGCCGGCACGACGCGCGAGTAGACGGCTTGCGCGACATCGGTCAGCGCGCCGGCCTTTACCATCGCCGCGGTCGCCGGAGGCGCCGCTGCAGCGGCAGCGGCGCGCACAGAAGTGGCGCGTCGCTTCGCGGAGAGCGCGGGGAGTGGCGGAAGGCATGTCCGTGCGCCGAGAGCGGAGGCGGCGGAGAGGCGAGAGGCGGGAAATGGCGCGGCGCATCGCGGTCTAACGGCAGCGCGCGGCAGGAGAGCAGTCGACGCGAGCGATGCCATGTTGTGCGTAGCGTGATGGCGAACAATGTCAGTACAGGTTCACAGAATCCAGGCTTTGGAAATGGGTTTGATAGCACAAGAGTGGTGTACGGACATGAAATGAACTTGTGATTCAAATCGACCTGGACAATGGAATTTCTCCTCCTCATTCCATGATGCTGGTGTTTGTGTTGTGATGTGAGCGGCTGGCAGAGAGCGGGAGGAGACAGGCAGGGCAAAAATGGGAGGGAAGTCGGCACACTGGTGGGCGCGGGAGTGGGTGTGGGGGCGACGCTTACCGTCCGATCTGTAGTCGCACAAATGAACCCGCTCTCTCCTACCGTCGATTGTTCTGATACGGCATTCGCCATCTTGACCGCCAAGCATGCCTGCTCAACTTTGAAATGTCAATTACAGTAGAACCGTCGATCCCCCGATGTCCTAGAATCTTGTTCTGACGGGCTAGATGTCGTGATTCGTGGATACTTGAATGTCGAAGAGTGTAATGATGTTATGTGTTATGAGTTGTAAAAGAGAGTGCGCAGGTAAACGAATAACGAAGCGGTGACTGAATGAAATTGCGAATACAAAGAATGACCAGACTAATATAGAACTACGCTAGCTAGGCGAGAACCTCGGACGAGCGAGGTTGGGTGCAGGTTTGGCGATGAGAAAGCCGAAGGCGACGCGAGGAGCCTCGGCAGCGTTGAAATCGGCCGAACGTGCGAACTCCGAAAATCGGGTTGTACGCGAAGCAGTCAACCCCGATAAGGAATTCGGGAAAATTCCTTACACCACCCCCCCCCCCTTTAAGAAAGGTAGTCAATAGCCGAGACACGACGTCGTGCCAAATAAGCAGCAACAAGCGTCGAGGCGTCCAGGGAAGCGGATGGCACCCACGTGTCGTCCTCACTGGTGCGATCCGTCCAGCGAATCAAGAAATCCACGTGGCGTCCAGCGAATCAAGAAATCCGTCAAGGCGGACCCTATGAGCGAGGATCTTCGAAGGGTCAAGGGTCGGCTCCGGGACGGGGCGAGCTGTCGGGACCGCGTGCTGACGTGCAATGTCGGTCGTGGCAGGCACGAACTTCCGAAGAAGGTTGACGTGGAATGCGTCGTGGATATGCCAGTCGTCGGGGAGTAACAGCTTTGCCGTGACAGGTGTCACCATCGTGAGGATTTTAAACGGGCCGCAAAATCGTGGCCGAAGTTTCGCAGGGCCGGGCAGGTTCAGGTTCTTCGTGTCGAGAAGGACTAGTTGCCCAGCTGTCAAGATGAGCTCCCGTCGGAGAAGGTTGGTATATTTGCGGGAAGTGATATTCGCCTTGCGAATGGCATCGGCAGCTTTGTCTCGGGCTTCCTGAAGTTCCGTCACGAAAGTCTGGGAACGGGGAACCGGGTTGGTGAATGTAGTCGTCGTTGGAACAGCCGGGTCCATCCCGTAATTGAGGAAAAAAGGCGAGTGATTAGTCGTGCTGGATGGTGCGTTGTTGAAAGCGAATTCCAGCATGGCGAGCGAGTCTTCCCAGCGGGTAGGGTCGGGGCAGTTGGTGCGAATTGTTGGGCTGAGAATTTCAGCCTTAGGATCTTTGCAGATAATAGGCTAGTAAGTGCTAGAGTAGCACAGCGGAAGTCTTGAGTGAATGTACTTGTGCTGGTATGTGAGAACAAGTAATTGATTAAAGTAAAGGGCATACAGGAATATATAGAAAGGATAGATTACAAGAAACGGTTATGTTTATCGAGACGCGTAACGCTTCGACTATCGAGGTGGTTACTGTTTACTGAAGCGTCGCTTGCTGTTACGTAACCTCCAGGCGGTTACAGCTCGCAACCTCTAGTTGCGGTTTGATGTGGTACGCGCCTTTTCGACTTCGTACTCCTTTTGTTGTGCTTCAGTATCGGGTGAGGTTCGATACTACAGAAACGCACTAAGTCATGCGTTTATTTTCCCAACACTCCCCTTCGTTTCTGGAGTGTCGACGTGGTCAGCTTCGGTGACGTGGTCCAATCCGGTGAGCAGCATGCAGTACTCGAATTTCCCCTTTGGTAGCTTCTTGGTGAGATAATCTGCTGCCATCTCGGTGGTCGGGCAGTAATCCAGCTGGAGTTTTCCTTTCTCAATTTCGTCTTTCACGAAGAAGTATCGCAGTGTGATATGCTTGGTTCTGTTGGCGAAGCCATTCTTGTTCGCGATCCGTATCGCGGACTGGTTGTCGCAGAAAAGCGAGAAGCTGGGTACTTTCGCAATTTTCGCTTCTTCCAGCAGTTCGCGCAGGTACAGGCCCTCCTTGGTAGCAGTGCAGAGAGCAATATACTCTGCTTCAGCAGATGATAGTGCGACGAGTTCCTGCTTACTTGATTGCCAGGAGATAGTTCCGACGGGCTCAAGACGGTAGATGTAGCCGGTGCGAGAGCGACGATCGACACGATCAGCAGCATGATCAGCGTCGACGTAGCCGAGTAGTTTTAGGTCGGTCGTCGTGTTCTTGTGATATGTTAAGCCAACTGTTGGCGTCGAGATGAAGTAGAGAAGGGCACGGTTGAGTTCCTTGAGGTGACGTTGTTCTGGGCGCTTGAGGTAGGTCGCTAGTTGACTGGCGCTGTAGGATAAGTCCGGTCGGCACGTAACGGCGGCAAAGAGTAGGCAGCCCAGTTTCTGTTGATATTCCTGGATTTCAGCAGGCGGCAGTGGGTTGGTTTCTTCGGTTGGATCGAGCGATAGGTGACTGTAGGGTGTTGCGATGTGCGTCGGTGTGATGCAGAAGCGTTCGGCGATAGTGCTTGCGTATTTTGAGGCGCTGAGACGAATAGTGTTGTCTTCATCGAGGATGTTGAGCCCTAGATACTGCGTGACGTTGGGTGAGACTGTGAGGGAGAGATCTGTCTGAAGCTCCTTTTCGAACCAGGTGACGATGGTGGTAGTTGACCCGATGTAAAGCAAATCGTCGACGTAGACGATTAGCAGAACGTAGTCGTTGTCGCGAGTGAGACGATACATGCCCTGGTCATGGGGCAGTTGGTTGAATCCGATGCGTTTGAGTCGTGCGTGCAGGTACTGCTGCCAGAGTCGCGGTGCCTGCTTAATTCCGTATAGTGATTTAAGTAGTTGGCAGACGAGGGAAGGGTCGTCGACGAACCCGTGGGGCTGTTCGACGAAGATTTCAGCGTCGACTGGGGCGTATAGAAAGGCGTTGGCGACATCGATTTGTCGGAGTGGGCGGCGGCGTGAGGCGGCGATGGCGAGGAGTATGCGCAGGGAAGTATGTCGACTGACTGGTGCGAAGGTTTCAGTGAAATCGCGACCATACTCTTGGTCGAATCCGCGGACGACCCATCGAGCTTTAAACCGTTCGATGGTTCCGTCGGAGTTGGTTTTGATCCGGAATACCCATTTTCCGGAGAGAATGGGTTTGTCTTGTGCGAGTGATGCAGGGACGATCTTCCAGGTGTTGCGGTCTGAGAGCGCTTTTAACTCCTTTTCCATGGCTTCGCGCCATTTTTCTTTGTGTTCCCCCCCCAGAGCCTGCTTGACAGAGCGAGGCTCTTCAGGTGGCGACGAAGGCCCGTGCACTGCAGCGACGAGTCCCAGGACTTGGAGTCCGCTGGGGGTGTGACGATTCAGCAAAGGGTCCTCGGGATAGACTGCTTCGTCTCCCGCTTCAGGATCAGGTGCGAATCCGGGGCCGTATCTTTCAGAGATGTCGGTGTTGACGGGTTGGGGTGTTACGTAACCATTGTCGGCGAAATGGTAGTAGGCGTCGGCATTGTTACTGTCGCGAGGGTTTTCCTCGTCCATGGGGATTGGGACGGAGCAGTAAGGAAGGGGTCCAGCAGCTTCGGAAGCGCCGTCGACGTTCTCTTCTTCCCAGTCAGCAGCATCGGAGGGTGAAGCGAAGGCTCGGGAACCAGAAAATCCGCCGGTGGGGTCGACGTGGCGTGCGATGTTGTCCAGGTAATGGTTGAGGGTGAGTCGCTCGTAGAAGATAACGTCACGTGCTGCTACTGTTTCCTTTATGTGGACGTCGAAGATTCGCCATGCTTCGTAGTATTTTGCCAGCCCGAGGTGTAGACCCCACTGTGCACGTTGCGAGAATCTCCCTGCGCGTGCAGTGTGTGGGCGGTACTGTACCATACACCCAAAAACTCGTAACATTTTTGTGTTGCCCAGCTTCCCAGTCCACAACAGGTGCGGAGATGCGTTGTTGGGCAGTGATGACGAGGACAGCAAGTTGTGCAGGAGGACAGCGTGGTCCATCGCTGCTGGCCATTCTGAGTTGGGCAGTCGAGTTCCACGTAGCAGCTTTCGCATGGTTGTCTGCAGGGTCCTGTTCATCCTTTCTGCCACACCCTGCTGTTGGTGAGCGTAAGGAAGAGAGATGAGGCATTTGATGCCTCTTTCTGCCAAGAACTGTGTGAAGCTGTTTGACTGGTACTCCTTTGCGCCATCTGACTGAAAACTCTTCAGTTTCGCTCCTGACTCTCTTTCAGCGACAGGTAGCCAGGCTGTGAAGGCTTCTAGAGCCATGTCTCGTGACGGTAAGTTGACGTGCCAGACATATCGCGTTGCAGCGTCAATGAAGGTGATGACGTAGTTCAGATCTTCACGTCCTTCCGTTCGAGGTATGTATAGTATGTCGCTGTAGACTTTCTCGAGTGGTTGATAAGCGGGGGCGCTCGGATTGTGGTGTGACGGGAACGGTTGGTGAGGCAGATCTGCTTCCGGGCAGATGAAGCAGGTGCCGCGTGGTCGTTCGAGTTCTCGTCCGTTGGGAAGAAGTAGGGCGTTCTTGTCTAACACTCCGGCTCGTATTGTATTGTAGAGTGTTGTGTTTCCAGGATGTCCAAGACGTTGATGCCATATGTCTTCGGAGGCGCTGTGACCTACGGAGCGTCGATAGAAGTCTGCGTTAGCGAAGAAGGCGGCGTGAGTTGCTGCACTTCGATGAACGGCGCGTGGTGCTGGCGTTAACTGTTGGGCGGCTGTCGGTGGCGTGTCGATGATGAGAGGTGGAGGTGCG